CTTTTTGACTCCATATTCACACGGAAATCCGTACACTCGGGAAGCACTAGACTCGTGATCTGATCAGCCCCAGTGTGAGCTGGTTGGCACATTGGTAACACACATACCTTCCGTTCGATGAGTCTGGAATTCAAAGTCCGGAAAGGACGGTGGATATGCCATATTGATGAGCTCCAAGGAGAGCGAAGCTCAAGTCTAGCGCTTCCTGAATATATAACTGATTGGATGAACTGGGAATTGTTTCAGTTTCAGTTTTCAATTTTTACAACCAAATACTTTCATGCGCCGGTTTTGGTTGCCGTCTTTTGGCCGCCCATTTGGATAAAAGAGCGGATTGAGGATTGGAATAATGAGAGGAGAATCAAAGGGAAGATATAGAATTCATAGAAAGTGCGGTTGCAAGAATATTGAGTAGATGCATGAGGAAGACAAATTCTGAAGGATGATCAGATCAAATCAATAATATTTATGCCACACTAGTTACTGCGAGGAAAATGCAAGTTTACGTAGTCGTTTAGAGAAGATTAAAAATACATGAATAGTGATTCTTTCTCAATTAACACTGGTGCAGATGGTAAATTCGATTGACCCCGATATCAAACAACTGCGGAAATTTTGTCAGTCAACGGCAGGACATTAGTATTGGGTTCATTCGTCTTATAAGCTTTAGCAAGCCTGAAAGATGGGGATTTCTCTTGGTGAATGCGGAGAGCCTGTGGAGCTTTCACTGATTTTAGAACTCCGTGCTGTACGGATGATATCAGTCGTGCACGTGAGTGTCGGCTTTACGTACACAGAACATAGGTCTAAAACGGGACTACGTAGTAAAGCTATTCGTTGGTTTGCTGCGTTTTTTCGCTACAAAGTCGGTACAAAGTGGTAGGAATACAACACTACCACTGGTGAAGCAGTTTGGTATGTATCCAGTCTGGGAAGCTCTGTGCTAAAAACGAGCATCTCACTGAATCGCCTTAACGGATTACAACCCTTCAGATTCAAATTTTACAACCATTAACCATGATTTTTCCTGACTGGCCATTTGAGTGAACTAATGAAAGTAGAGAATAAATGAAGATTAGGGTTGCAAATGTTGTGTTTTGTCTATGGGTACGAATGGTACGAGCGACTCTTGCTTAACCCCCAACGACAACGCGGAGAGAGAACACAAGTTGCGACCACAGTCAGCGTGTATTCTTCGATAAGTTATCGATATGTCAAAAGATATAGAACTAATCGTGCATACGAGGACGGCGCAGTGACGCACCAATCAGATAGTGCCCTTGACATATCGATTGATCGATTGGACAAACATTGGCTGATACGTTCTGTGATCATCCAATCAGGTTCAGCCTGTCTGGAGCGTTGCGAGCGTGCGTGTGGCCTGACTCGGAGGCGTGCGCGATCGGACGGGTTTCTTAGGCTCCGTCCTAACAGCAAAGACATGGAGTAGATGACAGATGTTGAGAAAACTTTCATCAGGCTACTTGCTTGTGTGCCACTGGGAAAGTATGGAAGAAAGCACGTGGAGACTGGACTAGAATACAAGAAAAGACCATAAGGAAATCTGTCTTTGCGTAAGTTCACCCAGATGCGCACAGTGGGGAGAAATCATCTTGAATGTATCTGGTCCGAAATCCCGAAAACCATGGCTTACGATCGGATACCACGAGGGGACTGCTTCTGATGTTGTTGCTTCCCCACGCATTGAAAAGAATTCGTTTAAAACCCCAAAAATATTCGATGAAGGCACAGAGAAAATACTTGATGATTTTTAGCAAACAGTTCTCATTCGTTTTTTCTATCCCACATAAATTAATACAATTGTTTTTCTTCTCTATGCCCCAAAATTCTTGTATTGCACATAAATGTGAGGGTTTTTACAGTTAACCAGACTGATCCTGATCTCAAACCGTATGGTCAGAAAAATTTACCACAAAATTCACCAGAAAAGTGCAAAATACAAAGCTTATTAGAAAAACTTACGCTGACTTTTTGTGCTTTCTTAAATTCTAAACTATCCAAATGATTCTGAATAAACTGTACACTCGCATTGAAATCCGATTGATTGTATTCATACGGGATGCTCCAACCCATCGGACCAAATTTACGTCGTTCTTGTGCAGTGCAGTGCAGAAATGCTAATGCGTAAAGCAAGTCACGCAAGACTTTTTGGACACATGTGTCCAAAAAGTCTTGCGTGACTTCGCTGTACGTGCGATAAAGATTCGCTTTGATTCCTTCCGGTGGTTCGTTGGTGAATTTGATAGCCACTTGCAAGAAATTGATCGGGAACGATTTGTGCTCCTCGGTGGTCACCCAAAGACGGAATCGTTCGTGGAAACCACTCTGAACAGCTGCACCTGCTCCACTCTCTGGATTTGTAGCAGTTGGACTGGTTGGTCCAACGGCTGGACCACCAGCCGCTCCGCCAGCCCCAGCGCCAGCACCTTCGGCTACCTCTGCACCACCAGGTCCACCTGCTGCACCTCCGGCACCACCGGCCCCGGGAGTACCAGCAGCTCCAGGGACAGGTGTCGCTC